TTTTGAGACGGAGTTTTGCTCTTGTTACCCAGGCTGGAGTGCAATGGTGCGATCTCGGCTCACCGCAACCTCCGCCTCCTGGGTTCAGGCAATTCTCCTGCCTCAGCCTCCTGAGTAGCTGGGATTACAGGCACGCGCCACCATGCCCAGCTGATTTTTTGTAGTTTTAGTAGAGACGGGGTTTCACCATGTTGACCAGGATGGTCTCGATCTCTTGACCTCATGATCCACCCGCCTCGGCCTCCCAAAGTGCTGGGATTACAGGCGTGAGCCACCGCGCCCGGCCTCTTCTTCTTTTTTTAATGTTTATTATTATTTTATAGAGGCAGGGTTGCACCATGTTGGCCAGTCTGGTCTTGAACTCCTGACCTCGTGATCCACCTGCCTTGGCCTCCCAAAGTGCTGGGATTGCAGGCGTGAGCCACCACGCCTGGCTTGTCCACGGTTTCTCTGGTGTTATTCTGGGTATGTCTGAGAATTCAGTGACTGGCAGAATAAGAGATGCATGCTTGAAATTTCCAGTCACCCTATTGACAACTAAGGTTTTGTTGTTTGAGGCCATTACATAGTTTCAGCTATAGGAATACTCACTGAAATTGCTGAACCATCTATATGAAATGTTCGGAAGTGTCCATCCTTTTCCTTGGAGTTCTTGACCCTCTTGTAGATTCCCTAGTTAATGCCTTTTGAAGATCCACTTGTCCACTCACTCCATTATTCCAGCTTGAGAATAGCTCTCCTTGTGCTCAACTCTTCTTTGCTTGAGGGTTACTGGAGTCTTTGCTCTGCCCGTTAGCGATTCTCTCTTCGGAATCTTGAACTCTATTTTAGAGTCTTCTTCATTGTCACTGTATCTGTCAGAATCATTACTTCCATTCTGCCTTGTATTTTCTGCTAAATAAAAAATTATTGACAGAGGGATAGATCGATTCTGTTCCTTGCTCCCTCAGTTTCAAAAGCTTTTTCTCACATAGCTTCCCAGCCCACAATAGAACCAGTATTCATTCCGTATTTTACAAGCTGATCCAAAAGATCTTCATTAGTGAGCTCTGCTACACGCAGATCGTCTTTATCATCTTGTCTGGGTTTATCTGTTTTGTGGCTTTCCTGCCAGCTACGGCCCCGGAGCGGAGACTGAGGTGGGCTCGCGCTCCTTGTAGCTGGAGAATTCCGCAGGCCCCCCTCGCCTGTGGCGAGCAGCGGCCCTGCTAAGTGATTTGAGACTGTTTAGTAGCTGAGATCGACTGCAGCGGTTTGAGATGGAAGAGATTGTGTAAGCAAACTCTTTTGCGTGAGCTCCTCAACCTCATGAGAGGATACATATGAAATGGGCTATCTACGCCTCTTTACAGGCTCCAAAATTCAAAATACTGAAATACTTTGAAATTATGCGATTAGCTACTATACTTTGGATACAGATAACTCCTTCACTAAAGAAGCAGGAGTCACAGCTTTAATAGTTTCATCTCCAAAATGGACCGAGAAATCGTGTAACTTTCTCCCGCCAGAAAGTTCAAAT